TATTTCAATTATACATTTACACCCGACTGTGAATGAAGAGCTTCCTCCATGTTAACCAAACCCGGTGACCGTTCTAAAACTTATATAAAAACACTTAATTCAACACTTCCCCTGGTCTGGCCCCTGCAGAGCTTGTCTCCGTGGGTCGGCCTGAGGAAGATCAACGTGTCGTACTGGGGCTGGGAGGACGCGTCGCCCTTCACCAACACCAGCCTGCGCTGGTCACCCGGCGAACCCAGCGACTCGGGCTTCTGCGCCTACCTGGAGCGGCCGCTGGTGGCCGGACTCAAAGCCAACCCCTGCACTGCCACCACGGACGGGCTGATCTGTGAGAAACCTGCGGGTGAGAACCAGGGAGGGAAATAAAGAAGGGAGGGAGCAAGAAGATTTTAAAGAAGTGAATTATAGATAAACTGAAATAAACAGAACACATATTTGGTATTTTACTGCAATTAGCTTTTGACTTTGGTTTTATTCTGAGGGAACCACTTTCTAAACTTCGGTTCCTCTTCTCTCCTCCTCCACCTCATCTTATTTTTGCGTCCGGTGGCTCAGGGACTCCTCAGAGTCCGAGCGCTCGTCCCTGCAAGACTCCCTGCGCTCTGCGGTCCAGCTGCTCTAACTGCACCAGCCAGGCCATGGAGTGCATGTGGTGCAGCAGCGCTCATCGCTGCGTCGACTCCTCGGCCTACGTCATCTCCTTCCCTTACGGGCAGTGTCTGGAGTGGCAGACTCAGGACTGCACAGGTGAGATATCCTTGTTAATGTTATTTTGACGATAGTGAACCCGCCTCCTCCATGTTAGCAGAGGGGACATGAACATTGTTTTTACATTTCTGCCGATAAATCCCTTTCACACACGCACTAAACCTGACCCTGACATAATGATATGAGTTAAAAAGTTTTATATTATAATAATAACCGACCTGTCTCTGTCTCTGTTGCAGTTTTATCTGTTGTTTCTTTTTCTGCACTTCTGTAAGTTTGTGTTTGAAAACTGACAAAGTGAAAGAAGAACTTTGTGTTGAATGAGACGAGTGGTCAGTTTGTTGAATCTTCGTCTTGTTACTGGTGATTATTATCTCACTTGTAACACACACACACACACACACGTGTTTTCCTTCCGTGTTTTCATATTGAAACTTTCCTCCCTCCGTCTTCTTCTCTCTTTTATTGTTTGTTTGGTGACAGACGGAGCGTGGGAGGCTTTGGCTCTGCTGCTGTTTTACCTTTGCTGCTCACTGCGTTGCGTTGAATGTAGGAAGTGACATTTTACATCGTCAGCTCCTCAGATGCAGAGCAGCGTTGCTCTGTCACCGTCCATCACTCTTTGCGCGTTGTCTCATACTCGACACGCTGCTTCTCTTCTTCATGGATTAGTGACGTCCTGTTTTTGGACACCAGGCAGATGAAGGCGTCGTGACGTCTGTTTTATACAAAAACAATAAATGTGAAAGTGTGAAAAGGACCAAATTCGAAGTGGGTCATTTCTCTATCAGATCAATTTGGCTCAGAGCTTTGTGCATCAGCCCCATTTTTCATGTCAGCTGGAGGCGAACCAAACACAACCTCTTGAAATAATTGGCTCAGTTTTCAGCTTCGCCCCAGAACTCTCAAGTTTGGAAGTTTAGGGAAGTTTAGTGAAACAGATTTTCAGTTCAGCTTTATTGTGCCGCAGCGTCCCATCCCTAAAGGTCTGTTACCTGCAGCGAATAAACATCCATCCATCATCATGCGCTGCTTCTCGTCTCAAAGGAACTGACATCGGCGAGAGGCGGGGGTGCACTCTAGGTCGCCGGCTTATCGCAGGGCTGCGGCGGACAGAGCGTCTGTAAATAAAACTTAACTCCAGATGTGGTCGGCTCAGCAACACTGAGGTCAGTGTGTGTTTCAGCGGCAGCAACAATCGGACGCCCACGTTCAGACACTTGTTCTGCAGATTCAAATTCGTTCGTCTGATGGAGGAGGTGCAGGAGGACTGATATCGCTGCATCCTGCACGATCCACAAAGCATCCCTGTCGCTACGGTAACGCCTGCCGTCCACGCTACTGCTGAAACAGAGACGTCGTCGCTCTGAGAAAAGAAATCCCTCGCTTCTACTTTCCGCCGTCGCTGTTCCTCCGGGTTTTGGTTTTTAGTTTTCTCTCTTATGTCGCCACAAACTAAAAATGACCATCGATAGAAATAAAAACGTCTCAGACACGTCAGAGATTTGATTAAATACTTTTTTTATTACATTAGAGTGCAGGAAGTTATTTTTTACTCATTCAGTGTTTGTGTTGTGTTATACACACACACACAGTGAAACACACACTCACAGGCTAGCACACACCAATGCTGGATGATGGTTTTGTTGCTGTCGCCATTTATTGGTTTAGCTACAGAGAATAAGCTTTATTTTCTCTGTGGCAATCATCACAACACACGCGTGTGTGTGTGCGCACATGTGTTGTGTGTGCGTTTTGTGTCTGCACCACGTGCTCTCTGCTGTTCGGTGGCTTCATGCTCGGAAAGGAGTGTGAGAGAAGCTCTTACGGCTCCTACACTTGATGTATTATGTATGTGGGCTCTCAGATCTGTTTGCTCCGGCTCCAGCGACGCTAACTGTCAACCGCTGTAGAGCAAATGGATTACACCAGATGAGGCCCGATGATACGCGTTACCCAGGGACACCAAATATCAAACCTGGTGTGATGAACTGAATGTGGCACCGAGACGACTGTGCTGAGAGAATTGTTGATGAGATGTAAAATTCCCCTCAGCAGGAACAAGAGGTTTTTCTTATTTGCTGCTACATGGATACCCTCCGTCCCTCAGACGACTCGTCAGCTGACGTGTTCATGTTATTTGTCAAACTCACGTGTCCTCTGAACACGTGTGTTTTATTTAGCAGAGAGTCTGACGGATGTGGAACCAATAAATCTGCAGGTCGATATTTGGTGGAAAGATTTAATGATCGTCAAATGAGAGTTTGTGTAAAGACAATGTTTGAAATTCGTGGTTCAGAATAAAACATTCAACTTGTATTTGATGGGATTGTTGAAGAACATGTTTAAGATATTCTTATCCCCGACAGAATGAAGTTTGATATATTTAAATAAACATAATGACCTCACTTTACATTTTTCACACTCCTGCAAACCGTTTTCACATTTTCCTTCAGCGCAGCAGAATCCTTCAAAACTCAACTTCCATACGTCATCACGTCACTTAGTTTTCTTTATAACAAACTTCACGCCCTTAAACAGTATTTAAATATGTTCTTCTTTGTCTTCAGTGCATCAAATGCCTCCAGAGTCGAGTTCTTTTTCGTGCACGTGTTAAATTAACCAGCCTCTCGCTCATGATTTAATAACAGTGAAATGCAATAAATGGCAATTAAATTACAGCTCTGCCTCTTTGTTCACCTCCTGTCGTCAGGTACAGGAACGAGTTTAATATGGCTGCTGAACACACACACACAAACACACACACAAACACACAAACACCCACACACACACACTAGGAGTGAGTCAGGAGGAACACAAGCATTTACACTGTAAGTGCATAAATCACCGCCACTATTTTTATCTTGACGAATATTCACGCCGGAAAAAAATATCAGTCCGTCGACAGTTTCATCTCTGGAGCACGATTAGATCCCGTGCTCCGGTTTCAGTCATGAAAAGTTTTTAACCCTCGTGGGAAATACAGACACCATCCAACAGGACATTAACTCCACAAATCGCCTGCAGCTCAAATCATGTAATAGCACGAGGCGCAGCTAAAGGTTCTGTTCCCGATAACTCAAACTAAAACCTTTCAGACACGCGGACGACGGAAGCGTTTCTAAATTCCATGTGGAACAATGAGGACAGCAGATATTCGGAAACGCTGCTGAAAATAGAAGCGGCAGAGCGTACATGTCAGGTAGATTATATTATTTGCACAAACCACCAGTTATGTAAGCGAACATCTAAGGACGTAACATTTTTCCGTCCACGCAGGGATTTGTTTTCGTCCACTGTCGTCTCTTTGAGCAGATTTTTACGTCCTCGGGCCCATTTTGTCTTTTTTGCGGAGAGGAGCTGGTGTCTGAGACGCAGCGCTTTGATCCATTCCGCTCCCACAGATTCTGACGTGTTCTATAAATGAATCAAAGTCGAGAGCCGCGAATGGAACCTCTCAGTGTGTGTGTGTGTGTGT